TTTCCTAATGCTCAAAGACGCTTGACATAAAATCAATAATTGAAGAATGCTTGATTACTGTAACACCTGTGTTCCCCCCCAGGTGACGCTGCTCTTCAACGACTCTCAGGTGTTCCCCCCGGTGACTTTGGGCAGTGAGCGGCAGCGGCACCGTCTGACCTCTCTGACCCCCGGCAGGATCTACAAGGTCGTGGTTTCGACCTTCAGCGGGAAGAACCAGAGAGCGTCCTCCATCAAGGGTCGCACAGGTGAGGGGCTCGTTCAGGTGGGGGGAGGGGCATATGAAACCTTTTCCTGGTGTACTTTTATTTAGACGGCTTTTTCATATTTCTCGTACATTTCAAAATTGTTCACATATTTTTTGGACTTTTTCACTTATTTTTCAGAGATTTCTTCAAAACATTTCTGACATTTTGTTTTCACCTTTTTTGTTTTCATATTATTTGGAGATTTTTTACAAACATTTAAATATTTTACCTTATTTTTTGACAACTTTCAACACATTTCTGCCATTTTCTTAAAACATATCTTCAACAAAATTATGCTATTCTTCCTATTTTTCTATGAAATGTAGTTAAGGAGTTTATCATATATTTTTGGGACAATTTCCACATAATACTCACACATTTCTTTACACACATTTCTGCCATTTTTTACAACACATTTTTACCAAAATAGACCAAAAACATCACAATCAAATGTATATTTAGTCCAGTTTGTTCTGAACCGTGTCCCCTGCAGTCCCCAGTGCGGTGGGGAACCTCCACGTCTCCCCTCGCTCCGTGGGGGGTCTGACGGTGTCCTGGACCCCCGGAGACGGAGACCTCGACCTCATCATCGTCACTTTATCCACCACCGTGAGTCCAATCAGATCCACTCTGAGGGAATACAACTAATATATATTTGAATGAGAAACAAATCAGTTCTGATGTCACTTCCTGTTGGGAAAATACTGAATGTCCTCTTCCAGCATGAGCTCCACATGCTAACAAAGGTATCAACTGTAGCTGTGAACATGACAGGATGTGTGATTACCTAGAAGAGCATCAGGACTGTTTGAGGCATATGATAGCTATGTGATTAACATGATGATTCAGCCTCTATGGAGAGAGACATATGACAAGCATGCTCATTCCTGACGTGGAGCTAATCTGAAGTAAACATTGAATACTGCTTTCTATTCCTCCATCTTGTGACTGTGGAACTCCCTCTCTTGGATATCAGCATGTGAAGGACACTGTTCAGGAACTAGTTGATGCTCTGTATGTGATGACTCCTTCCATTCTGGAGAGGATCACAGATACATGGATCCTGAGGTTCAAACTCAAGCTGGGGAACAGTGATTATTAAGTATTCAGAAAAAGATAACATTTTGAGAAAAAGTCAGATTTTTGAGATTTTTGAGAAAAAGTTGGAATTTTGAGATTTTAGAGAAAAAGTCAGACTTTTGAGTTTTTGGAGAAAAAGTTGGAATTTTGAGATTTTTTAGAAAAAGCCAGAATTTTCTGAGATTTTTGAGAAAAAGATAACATTTTGAGAAAAAGTCAGATTTTTGAGTTTTTGGAGAAAAAGTTAGAACCGGGTTCGTCCATCTTGTGACTGTGGAACTCCCTCTCTTGGATATCAGCATGTGAAGGACACTGTTCAGGAACTAGTTGATGCTCTGTATGTGATGACTCCTTCCATTCTGGAGAGGATCACAGATACATGGATCCTGAGATTGAAGCTCAAGCCGGGGACCAGGGAGAGTTTTCTAACATGAATCTGTTTGCAGAGTGGAAACATCCTCCAAACTCGACGCGTCCCGAAATTTGCTTCCTTTCTGGACTTCCTGGATCTGACTCCAGGCCATGCTTACACCGTCACCGTCCAATCACTGAGCGGCACGCTGACCAATAGCAACGCAGTAACCGGCAGGACGGGTAGGACAGGATCAATCTGAACTGCTTTACGTTTTATTTATTGACTTATTTTATCCATACATGAACATATTTCATATTACAAACTATTGAAGTGAAATATATACAGTGGATTAAAATGATAGACTGTTCATTTCTTTGTGATCAAATACTTATTTCCCCCACTGTATATATTTTTAAAACATGTCTTATTGTCTTACTTTTTTAAGTAAACAAAAACAAAACCCTGATTATATTTCGTGTCTTAGCTCCGGCTCGTGTCACGGCGCTTCAGGCGGATAACGATCACACCACCCACAGTCTGACGGTCCAATGGGAGCGTCCGCTCGGCATCTACGACAGCTACGCTCTGCAGCTATTGGACGAGGCCGGAGCTCTGCTGGCCAATCAGACGGTCTCTGAGGAGAAACGCAGCCAGCGCTTCGTGGGTCTGACGTCCGGCCGCTGGTACAAAGTGAAGGTCGTGACCCTTAGCGGGGGTCAAAGGTCGCTGGAGGCCACGGCCGAGGGACAAACACGTGAGTCAGGATGTTAAGAAAATGCATTTTAAGATTTGTCATTGTTTTGACATTATTCACGTAGTTTTTCTTATTTTTCACGTTCATTACAGCAATTTTTTAAAACATATTTGGGGGATTTTTTTCTTATTTTTTATATACTTTTTCTTATTTTTTTGAAATTTCTTACATCCATTTTTGCCAGTTTTTCAAATATCCTCTTTTGACATCTTTCATACGACCTGTTTTTATACATATTCTGTGAATAACCCCTCTGTGTTTCAGGCCCTGCTGCCGTCAGTAACCTCTCGGTGTCAGCCCTCAACTCGTCTTCGCTCTCCTTCTCGTGGCGTCCGTCCGACGGACACGTGGACGTCTATCACCTGTCACTCTACAGCGTCGCCGAGGCAACAGCCAATCAGAGAGAGGAGTCTGCTGGAAGCAGGAAGGAGCCTCAGCAGGTGAGAGAGTGAATCATCAGGGGGGGTATAACTAAGTAAAAGTACTAATACCTAATACTGAAGGTATCACTCAAACCAAGTCGAGTACAAGTCATGAAAACAGGTTTTTTCAGAGGTTTTTCGCAGATTTTTTCACATTAATTAAAAAGAAATTGTTTAAATATGATTTTTTTTGGGTTATTTTTCAAATATGTTTTTCACTTTATTCACATTTAAATTGTACCTATTTTTCGGAAATGTTTTATATAATTTCGTCATAATTATCTGATTTTATTTGTTTACTTTTGCCATATTTTTCCAATTTAAAATGCATAAACAATGTTCAAATAGCATAAAATGAATATTGTCAAGTAATATAACTTAAAACTTGAATATATATATACTTGTTTACCCTTCCATATTAATGAACACACACACCTGTGTTTAGCCGGTGTGTGTGCAGACTCTCCCTCCGGCTGCGGACAGGTGTGTGTTCTCCGGGCTGACAGCAGGAAGTCTGTACCGGCTGCAGGTGGAGAGCCGGAGCCGAGAGATGAGCAGCGACAGCGCCCTGCTGGCCAGGACCGGTCAGTGCACCCTGTCATCTTCATCATCATCATCATCATCATCATCATCATCATATAATATTTAATTAATAGATCTCTTTGAAACATGGAACACGTTCGTAAAGACTTAAAAACTCAATTAATGAATCTTGTTTAATACAAAATGTAAGTTCCTGTCTTTGATTTGTATTTCCTTTTAATTTAAATGTTTTGTGTCTTAGTTTTATTTATTATGTTGTTTTTTTCATAGATTTTTCAGATTTTTTAAAGTTTTTTTAATTCCTTTAATTACATGTTGTTGTTTTTTCTTTTCTTAACTTACTATGTGTTTTCATATATTTTTCAGACATGTTACAGATATTTTTTAAAACATTTTCAGACATTATTTTAAAAATATTTTTCTAACTTTATCACATTTTATTATTAGTAAACTTTAAGTTATTGGTTTTGGCGTTATCTGTCTGTAATTCCGTGTTTTCTTTTTCTTCTTGCAAAAATTCAAAATCAAAGTGACAAACCTAGTTTATTAAACAGTCAATAATAAACAGAATGATCAGGTGTCCTCTCTCTCTGCAGTCCCCTCCCCGGTCTCCTCTCTGGAGGTTCAGAGTTCAGGACGGACCGACAGACTGACGCTCGGCTGGAGGAGAAATGAAGGAGGCTGCAGCAGATACCAGGTGACATCTTTAGTTATAGTGTTTAATTCAATCAAGATAGATAGAGAGAGAGAGAGAGAGAGAGAGAGAGAGAGAGATGGATAGACAGATAGACAGACAGACAGACAGACAGAGAGACAGATGGATAGATACTTAAAGCAGGTTAAAGTGGGATTCAACCCTCTTTTTTATGAGAGATATACAATGCATTATCACAAAGCTGAATATACTAACTAGATAAAATGTATGCTTGA